AGGCTTGCTATTTTTAGCAATATAATGGTCTAGGTTAACCTTTGTAACCCGTTTTGAAATAATAAAATTGTATTATTTGAGTATTATGTGTTTTGTGCTTAATTGCTTAATTATGTGGTCTAATTAATTAAGAATGTAAAAATAAGCGTCAAAATTTAAGTGTAAAATAAACTTGATATCATTAGATAATGTTGTAGTAGTTGAAACAAGGTTTCCGAAGATATAAAGAATGCCGAAATCCGAGTTATAACGACGAAGTTATGATCTGTCGAAGTTTCGCGACAAAACCGGCAACGCTGAATGACGTAAAAAGTGAAATTTATGTTAGAGCGATATTTAGCCTTAGTGATCTAAACGAGAATCGAAGATCTCGTTGTTAGTATCAAAGCGATAAAAAGTTAGGCGAGAACGGACGTCAAACGAAGAAGTTATGAATTTATAACGAAATTTTCTGTCCCGGCCTATTAAAAATAAATAATAAAAATAAAGTCAAAATTAGCCGACGGAGTCTAAACGAAAGTTGTAGAGCGTAGTCTCACCTTCGCGTGGATATAAAGAACGTCGAAAACGGAGTTCGTATGAAGAAGATATGAATTTCCGAAGTTTATTAATTAATTTGTATTTATTTTTAAATCAAAATTCGGAAGCCTTATCCGAAGGCGAGTCATCGATCTGATCCGAGGTACGCGCCGCGTACTCGAGTACGCCCCACGTACAGCCAGAGTGTCAACACTTCGGATAACGCATGCAGTGATGCATTTCGGAGCCTGTACGCTCCGCGTACAAGCGTACGCCCCGCGTACGAGGAGGTTCCAGCTTCCTATAAATAGGATGCGAAGGCAGCCAAGTCTTTTGCCAATTTCTTCTCTTCTCTCTCCCGTTTTGCATTGTTTTGTGTGCCAGAAATACCCCGAATCCCCGGTAATATTCCCGAGTCCCGAAGCGAGTCCCGAGATCCCGAAGATCCCGAGAAGTGCGGTTTCCGAGCCGAAGCTCTGCCCGCGAGAAGTTCGATTTTCGTAGAGATCTTCTAGATCTGCTGAGGATTACGACTTTTGCAAGCCGTAGTGCTGTCCGATCATCTTCTGATCAAGTGAGTGTATACTACCTTTCATAAACGCAATAATAATACAAGTATGGTTTGAGTGTATTAAGTTTATTGTCGTTTATACGTATGAATGCGTTGTTACTTTCTTCTAACGTATAACTATGAAGTATTTTATACGAGATACGTGTTATGTGTATATTTTGTTGTTATGTGTGTGAATATATATTCACTTTCTTCTATCTTACAGATCTGATTATTTCTATAGGAAATACGTGTTATGTGTGTGTGTCTCATCTGTTATATGGAAAATGTATTGATCAAGCATGCTATACAGGTTTTGAAAATATGTATAAAAATGTATGTTTTTATCTACTAATATGTTGGGTAGAACATGGGTAGATAGTTGGTGTGTAATAAACAGATGAGAGGCCTCGTTGTTGTTTTGATCCAGTCATCTAGCGAAATTTAGATGACGACCACGGACTTTTCTAGACAGTCCAGTGGAACGCTAGCAGGCTCATAACCTGTAGGTGTTAATGAACTTGGGTGTTCATTCGTTGTATTCCATCCCCCTCATGGTTGCCTTATTTGACTTATATTGTTGAGGAACCCCCGCAGCATGTGTTGTCACCGCGATGAAAATATTCTTAGATTAGGTCCCTTGTGTTAGTTATTTTAGGGACTTAAAGTGAGAATAACGGGAATGGGTAACTGGGTTATTGTTGGTTGATAATAATTAATTTAATTATTTATTGTGGGTTGAAAACCCTATATGCTCACCAGGCTCCCAAGCCTGACCCACTCAGTTTTATTTGTATTACAGGAAGTGGCGCAAGGGCGTAAGATGAATGAACCATCAAGTTGTTTTGTTTACAAGTCTGTATATGTAAATATTTGTTGAATGACTTGTAATGTTATCGTTTATGCTTGTTGGTCTATATCGGAACATGACACCCCGAGTTTTGATTATATAATGAAAAATACATTTCTTTATGAAATGCTTTGGTAAACATTGTTTTATCATGTTTTGTTTTTGGGAACAAATTCCGCAACTCTTTCAAATCAAAAGGTTTTACTCTGAATTTATTTTAAAAGCATAAATGAAAATCGGTCTTTTCTGGCCGTGATTTTGGGGATGTCACACATTGTCCCTAGTCCGATAGTATGGATTGTACATAGTCAACTGTCATTAATTCGAGGGTATGGATTAAGACATAGTCAGTTGTCCTTAGTCCGAGAGTATGGATTAAGACATAGTCAGTTGTCCTTAGTCCGAGAGTACGGATTAAGACATAGTCATCTGTCCTTAGTCCGGGAGTATGGATTAAGACATAGTCATTCATCCCTAGTCCGAGAGTATGGATTAGGTAAAGTCGTTCATTTCTGATCCAGGAGTATGGATTAGGTAAAACGACTAATCTTAGGTCCGAGAGTATGGATAGTCTTGTTGTGAGGATAGACGGGATGGGATAAGAGTTGTTTATAAATATGGTGAAATTGTATATTTTGTGAGTTTTAAACTATATATATGATATAACATTGTGGGATTGAAATCCCTATGTACTCACCAGGTTTCCCAACCTGACCCACTTAGTTTATTTACATCACATGTGTTGATATGAAGTCACATTACACTGAGAGATTAAAGAGATGTAGATCACTAGTGTAAATAAATGTAAGTTCCATTTATGCTTATGTTTCTGTATTGACGATGATATCCCAGACGTTTTAACATAAATAAAATATGTTTATTCGAAAATGTTTTGATAACGTATTTATCGTGTTTTTCTAGGAACAAATTCCGCAACATTTTTATGAAAAGAAGTACTCTAATTTTTATAAAGGATAAACAAAATCGGTCTTTTCTATCCGTGAAAATGGGGATGTCACACTGTGTATCAGTTGGCGTGTATACTTTTGTTCCAAAAGCTATGGGTTACAGTGTATGTAATCGTAATCAAAATAGAGAGTGAAAGGCGGAAAGGTTATACATTTAATGGTTGTGGTGGCTGAGTGGGGTGTAATGATGCTGATGGCTACAACTTTTGGAGGTGCAATGGTTGTGAGATTAGTGGTCTGATAGCCTGACAGTTCACAACTAGAAGCAAAAGGGGAAGGAGTGGAACGTATGCGGTGGCTAACGACTTCAAAGAGAAGTCGAATGAGGTGAGAAGAAACCCAAAAGAGTAATAGAAACAATAGGCGGATATGGTGACGGTAAAACTATGATAAAGTAAAAACAATCAATAACATTGTTTCCATTGACACGATTAAAAATAATCACCAACGAAATGAAGACATTAGAGATGAAAACATCAACAAAATCCATAGGAACCGTCAAATAAATCTTACCCCATAAATAAACTGGAATGAAACCAATAAAAAAAATCTAATATCTGTTAAGAAATCAGAGAAGATTAACCAATAGCATTGTTCAAGCGGATAAGACTTAGAATCAGAAGACATCCGGTCGAAGAATGGAAAGACGTGCACAATTTTATACATACAACAAACCAAACCGGAAGCAGGAGGATGAAACAACACCTTCCTGAAGTCGAAGCAAATAAAAGAAGCAGATGATGAAGATCAAGAAGGTGGAAGAGATGTAGGACATGAAGCGGTTTAGAGAAGATACGGTGGAATAATGTGATTGGGGAATAAAAACGGCGGAGGACACCGTGTTGGGAGTAGGAACCGGATGGAGGAAGAGAAAAACACGTAGATGGCACAGGGTACATCCACTATAGAAATAAATAATTGGATAAATTAATAAATAACAAAAAGTAGACATAAAATAAATGCAAAAAAAAAAAAACAAAAAAAATAGATGTATATATATATATATATATACACACACACACTAGCCGTTTACCCGCGCAAAGCGGCGGACGACAAATAGTTTGTTTCGACAATTAATTTATTTTCGATGGAGAATGATTATTTTCAATTCAATCATTAGTTTGTTTTAGGAAACATGTCACATTAAAAATAAAGAAATTCATAAAATAACCAAATTAGAGGGTGTTGAATATTTATTTGGATGAAAAAAGATCTAGTCAAAACCTTGGAAAAGAAGATTTATAGGAGTTTGTTTAAATTTTAATATTATTTTATTAGTGATTAATTGTACAATTAGCATAATGATGTGGACGTCTTAAAAAAATATTCTTATTTTATTCAATCTATTTTTAGAAATAATGGGATTTGTTTTATAAGATAGTATATATATATATATATATATATATATATATATATATATATATATATATATATATAACTGTCTAATAATTAAATAGGTTGAATGTAAAACTGCCATGCGTCAATGCCACGTGTCTCCCTAATAAACTTCCAAAATTCATTTACATTAATTTACATTCATTTACATTTATTCATTCAAAATTCAAAATTTAAAATTCAAAATCGGCTATAAGGTATAATATCACAGTACTATTTGATTCCATAAAATGAGGTCCTAAATTTCTGTAAATATTTTTTTATTTTACAAATTTACATGCATTGAAATATAGATAATACAGATACATATATCATATCCCTAAAAATCAGCTATTGATATTCCAATTTACCCCTTTTAAACCTCTTTAATTCCGATATTCACTACCATATATACGATTTCGCTTATTTTCCCGCTTATTCTTTGCTGTAAGTCTTGAAATTATCATATCAATTCCAAGAAATCAACAAATCAGTTTTAATACTCCAGAATCTGACCTAGATTCAAAAACATTTAGTTTATATTTATAGAGATATATAAAGAATAAAGAATATAAATAATTGATATCCCTGAAAATCAGCAAAGAATTGATGATTATTGTATATTTATACCTGTAAATTATACCTATAAATACCAACAAATATCGATTGATGGTCATTGTTTTCTTTACTGTTCAAAAAGCTTTCAAAGGCTAATTCTCTTCCACATCTATGCATCTACATGGCTGCTGCTGCTACTGATTTAAGTTTCATAACTGGTCTTGATGTCTTGAAGGACAGCTTCACTATGAAGCTTCGTGTGATCAGATTATGGACACTGGAATGTTATTATAACAAAGACGAAATTTTCTCCGTTGAAGTTATTTTAATGGAAGAACAGGTATAATACATAAATGGTATTAAATTATTTACATATTTATATTTTTATTTATCTTTTTAATAACAAAACTTGAATGTTAATATTAATATACATCATAATTTAGTGTAACAAGATCCAAGGTTATGTCCCTAATGCTTATGTTTACAAGTTTAGAAAAGTTCTAAAAGAAGGGGGAAATTTTTTCATTAAAAATCCAAATGTAGCAAAGATTGGTGAAGGTAAATTTCGACTTACTGATCAAATGCAAAAGCTCACCTTCAATCGCGAGACTACTATCATTCCCTATATCGAGTTTTCGGGATCAATTAATGAGTTTGCTCTTATTGACTATCATCCCAATATATTCGACAATGTTTCAGAAAATATTTCATTGGGTTAGTATTTTCTATTTACATACCACTTTATATATTTTAAATAACTTATTTATTTCTACCCTTAAAATAGTAACTAATTTCAGGAATTTTTTTTTGGTTTTTATGTTTATATATAGATGTTATCAGTTTGGTGGTTGCAATTGGTGAAACTGATGCTCGAAATGAAGATAGAAAGATGCATAAGATGAGACTACAAATCCAAGATGCAAGTTTATTTTTTTTATAAACTATAATTATTGATTGTATTAACTATTTTTATTGCAATATCAAAAAAAAATTATTTTTTCTATTTTTTAATTCCCATCTTTATTGTTAGTGGTTCTTAATTGGATGTTAATCTATGGGGAGATTATTGTTATAAATTCTCGGATTACATCCAAAACAATGTAAACATTCTCCGCATCGTCATAATCCTTCAATTCGCAAAGATTAATATCTGGCAAGGTCTACTGTTTTTTTTTCCTATTTTATATTGCAATGATTATTTGTTTATTTTTTATATTTTTTTTATAGATCGCCGATATGTTAATACATACTATGATGTATCGAAGTTCATCATCAATAGTGACATTGATAAGATAAAAGTTTTCAAAAAAAGGTATATTACATTTCTTTAATTTGTTTTTGGTAATAATAAATTGCGATTTATGTTATAAAAGATTGAACTATTATGTTAATTAACAGTCTGAATGAAGATGATCCCCATGAAAACTCATCCAGTAGTTTCTCTTATATGAAATCTAATCGAATTTCTAAAAAGGATGAATTTTTGCTTAATCATGAGCTGAAAACAATCTCTGATATTTTCCTACCCATTGAGGTAAACAAAATTCTGCAATTTCTATCAATCTTTTTAACTTTTGTTTTTTTGGATATAGTTTCTGTAATTAACACATTCGGTTATTTACTATTCAATACATGTTATAATATTATGGTTTTTTTTAATCAGATAAAAAAGTATGTTATTGTTGCGGACATAAAGAGAATTCTTCAAAACACACCTTGGTATTACCCGACATGTACAAATTGCAATACAAAGCAGTTCCAAACAATCTTTCCGATGAACCCAATGTCACCGGATCACTAAAAAATGTAACATATGAATGTCGAAATCCAAAATGCACTAAAACTGAAACATCGACATTTCCAAGGTTAATACTTTTTGGAAAACTCAATTTTGATATAATAGTGTTTTCAAATTATGTTGAATAATTTTGAGGATTTTACATTTTTTTCAAAGGTTCATCATTTCGATAAGAGCTCAAGATCATACCGGAAGTATCACTTTAACAATGTTTGAACAAGATGCGAAGAAGCTTCTAAAAATTTCTTCAAAAGATTTAGTTGCAAAAACAACTAAGGTGAATGTTTTTGTTATTATTATTATTTTTAAAAAATATTGTTTTAATATATAATTTCATATATTGACGTTTTTACTTGCTGCTTGGATTTTGTACTAACGTATACCTGTTCGATATTAAAGCATTGAAAGATATGAAATTGACTTTCATAGTTTCTGTTTCAAAATACAATGTGTTAAGGAACATCAACCAATATACTATTTCCAAGATTAGTGATGATGAGACTTTGATTGAGGAGTTGGAGAAAAATTTTGTCGTTGCAGAGGTTATTATATTTGAAATTTTTTTTTTCCAAACTATAATATACTTAATAAACGGCTTATTAATTTTTCATTTTTGTTTTGAATAAAGAGGTAATTCACAATCATTTGAACATGGTACCACTGATTGTGAATCTCAAGATAACATATTTATAAAGGTAAATCTCAAGATAACATATTTATAAAGGTAAATCTCAAGATATATCGATATCTAATGTTAGTATTGTCTTTAACTTTAATAAGCTATAATAATATTATTTTTCTTTGTTAATTTTAGGATGTCATATCTCAGGCTGATGATAATGTGACACCAATGAATGTTTTCAAATCGACAGCCACAAGCCCAAAAAAGAATTTGGATGCAACGACAGGTTTGAAGCGAGCCCTTGAGGATGATTTTGTTTTGGATGTCAACGACAACATGTCATCATCAAAGGCGACAAAAGTTGTAAGAGGGCAACAACATAAACTTGTCAATGTTAAGTTGGAAAAGTGATTGGTCACCTATGTTTTAAGAACAGTAATTGGTTTTTAAATTTTTTCCTAAGGATATTAAGACATTTTCGTATTCGTTTTTAAATTTTTTCCTAAGGGTATTAAGACTTTTTTTTTGTAAGAGATTTGATGGATTTGATTTTTTTTTTTTTGTTTTAAATGATTTGTTTCTTAGTTTCCTAATTTTCATAAAGTACAATCATATTTATATCATGTTCAATAAACTATCTTGTTATTTTTTACAATTTTAACAATAAAATAAAAGGTTATTGATTTAATTTCTAAACAATGGCGTGCAATTTCATAATTAAAGAAATATATACCTTTTTTTAGACCTTCATTGTTGGTTATTATTTCTAGAACACATGCCATAATTACACGTCCCATTTAGCTACATACTCATTCAAACCTATAAAAAAACAAAAACATTCACAAAAGTCAAAAATCCTTATACAATATAACATTAATTTGTGTATTTGGGTAAAAAAGATTACCTTATGACTCTAAAAATATTGACAATTATGCCCTTGATTTAAAAATGAACAATTGGAATATGAAAGAATAGTTTTTATTGATTTAAACAATAAAGGACTCATCCAAGGTTTGCATTCAGAATCCTTTTAAAGGTGTTGAATTCCTTATAAATAATAACATTAATTTGTGTGTTTGGATAATTTTTTTTTTAAGACACACTATAAAAAATGACAATTATGCCCCTGATTTAGAAATCAGGAATTGGAATATGAAAGCTGAAAGCTGATTTTGTTCTACAAAAATCCAATATTTATCTAATTAAAGTTGATTTTTTTCCACAAAAATCCAACTATTGTATTTTTATTTTCTGATCACCGGTTAAAGATTTTGCTTACATCATTCGATTCCAACATTTTAAATACCATTTTCGATGACTTTTAATGATTGTAATAGATTCAAGACTCAGTTTAGTCATGTGATAACATTTCTATAACATCATTAAATCAGGGGCATAATTATCAATTTTTAGAGTGTATCTTACAAATTTTTATCCGAACACACAAATTAATGTTATAATCTATAAGGAATTCAACAACTTTAAAAGGATTCTGAATTCAGTTGCCTTTGGGATCTCCAACTTTCCGGGGACAAAAGTGTAATTATATGTCAAGATAAAAAAAGGCATGGTAATGTTCTGAAGAAGTACAAATACATAAGAAATGTAAACATATAACACCAACACACAACAACCTACTGTTATAAGATAGACAAAACTTACAGAGAAATATCATCGACTAAATAACAAATTTAATGTCTCTAATTGCTAATACCTTCTACACAAAACTATGATAACGAGTTAAACTTTGTTTTTTGCCTTTTTCGCTGTAAACTTAAGTAAATATTTTGTTCTATACTAAGTCAAAGGGAAACAAATACGTGTATATTGTTAATTGAAGGAAAAAGAATTTCAAGGATAAATATGGAACTACTAAATAAAAACTAATTTCAATATTGAAAATTAAAGAAAAATGAATGTGAAAGATACGAAATGGAGTCATAAAACCCAAGGAACGTAAAGAAAATGGCACAAATGTCTTTTTAACATTTTATGTAGCCTGAAAAAAATTTAAAAAATGTAAAATTATGTAAATTGGCAATCTCATCTTAGAAACCACACTCAAATATCCATATTATCCAAGTATATTTTTTACACATTACATTCTTAATACAACCTTTTTTTGGTACGTATTAGCTTTAGTGTGTCAAAGTCAAACAAATTTTAAGTAAAAATACATGATGAAATGTAGAAAAATTCCCAAATTATTTGATTTGAAAAAAGATGGAAGCGAAAACTCATAACCAAATATTCGTTCATCTTTATATGTCTGCACAAAGTTGAAGAATAGTGACTCTGCTACAAAATTATCCTTAATCATGGTTCCACATAAAGTTATAATTGTCTAGATGTAAGTTGTTATTATACCTGTACATGTCACTTGCTTCCTTTTGTAACACCCCAAAATCAGTTAGGCCAAGAAGGAAAGAAAACCCTTAATCAAAGGGTCAACTCGCCGAGTCCAGTGCGAAGCTCGGCGAGTCCGAGCGGGATCCAGGTTCAGGAATTAGTGACCGACTCGGCGGGTCGGCTAAGGGGACTCAGCGAGTCTGGTCTGAACGAGGAAAACCCTAATCCCGGGAATTGTATCCTATATAATGGGTGTTATGTCCCTCCCTCAGCCTCCTTATCATCCTAGAGAACCTGTAAACCCTAGATTTCGTGTGAGCTTCAATCATTTGAGTGAAATAGCCTTGGAGGAAGGAAACTTTGGAAAGGAACTTGAAGACCAAGAAGGTTGCTTCAAAGGGGAGGTAAAGATCCGGGATTTACTTCAGTTTGTGTTCATCTTGGAGGTAATAAGCTGCTATCTTCCCTCCTTTGCATCTAGATCTACTTTTGTTATGAGATTTAGGGGTTTTATGGTTGTTTGAGACCCAATTCGAGTTTGGGGCCTAGATATGTCGTTGCCACTTCAGATCTAGTGTTGGGATGGTCCAATATGTCATAAAGCATCAGAAGATGAGTAGTTGGTGAAGCCCTTTGTCCCTAAACCTAGCCCTAGAGTGTTTTGATCCTTGATCTCTTTAGTTGTACGTAAAGTTTGCAACTTTACGTGAGGATTGAGCTTTGGGAGTATGCATCTATGAGTTGGAGCCCGTGCGTGGCTCGAAAAGCCACTATATGGATTAAGAATCGGTGCAACTCGGCGAGTCACATGGGTGGACTCGGCGAGTTGGATGAAGTTGGGCAGGAACTCGGCGAGTTGGAAGAACAACTCGGCAAGTTGGTTGAAGATAGCCTTGGACTCGGCGAGTCTGGTCTTGAGGTCCTAGCCTTTTCTGGTAAAGTTGAGAATCGGTGAGTCAAGGGACGACTCAGTAAGTTGAGATGGGATTTTTCAGAGTTGAGGGACTCGGCGAGTCAACGGGCTGACTCGGCGAGTAGGGTCAGTCAGGAAGTTTGACTTTATCTGAGGACTTTGACTTTGACCAAGAGTTGACCAATTGACTTTCAAGGGCATTTTTGGTAATTATTGGTATTTATTGGGTTCAGTCTTTTGGTATTATCAAGGGTTGAGTTCGTGTCGGAGGTTGGAGCAGCGTGATCTCATCTTTTCAGTCAGCAGATTGCAAGGTGAGTTTTCCCTTTGTGTGAATGGGTCTAAGGCCACAATGCCGGCCCATGTAGATACGAGTAGGAAGACCCGGGGGTTAGCCCTAGGCACAATATGCTAGTATGATATTCAGGACGAGGTCCAATGATAGCGGGCGGGTACCCAAGGAATGGTTTATATGTTAGTTTATACTTGTTGTCTGTGTGATACATGTATGTGCCTGGTAGGGAGGTGAGTATGGGCGAGGTCCCGTATCTCACCAATAGCAGAGTGTGGATGGTGTTCCACATCTCATTAGCAGCAAAATAGGGGCGAGGCCCAAGTTAGGGAAAGAGTGAGTATGGACTGGGCCCGTATCTCACTATTAGTAAGGGCGTGGACGGGGTTCCATGACTCATCAGTAGCAGGACAAGGGCGATGACCAAGATAGGCGAGGCCTCATGACAGGATTTGTGAGTATATGTTAGCTTATGTGTTGTGATATGCTTATGTTCTATTATATGTTAGCGGGCGGGGTCCAGTGACAGGCGAGGCCTAAGTTAAACAGATTTGTATTCGAGCGTGGCTCGAAGCCAAGCGGGGACTGGAGCGGCGGGGTCGTTGTAGCGGGCGAGGCCCAAAATAGCGGGTGTGGCCCAATATGTGCAGTATGTGGTTATGCATGGTATGTGGTAAGGTGGGGAACTCACTAAGCTTCGTACTTACGGTTTTCAGTTTTGGTTTCAGGTACTTTCGGTAGCGGAGGGAAGAGCTCGGGGTGATCGCAAGGCACACACCATAGATTAGACAGCCTGGGAATGTTTAACTCTGATAATGAACATGTATTTTGGAAATTAATACTCTGGTTATGATATGGATTGATAATTATGTCTAAGTAATGTTTTATAAAAGAAATTTTTAGTCTCGAATTTTGGGTCGTTACACCTTTCTTCATTATTATAATTAATGTGGGGTTTTTTAAACCTAACCTAACATTGCATAACTATGTGATTTGGAGTAGTTTCTGGGATATGAGCTAAGAAAAGTGTTGTTATTAAAGAGCAAGTGGCAGATCTAAGTGTTGAATTCAAGCTTCAATTCTGAATAAAAAAACCATTCTTTCATATTCCAATTTTATTTGAAGTGTCATTTCAAATCAATTTGTTTCAATCAATCCTCATTTTCAAGTTTCAATTTAGCAAACCATATATAAGGAAATCAATTACTTATTTTTTTTACTCTAAAATCAATCGCGTCTGAATTTTCCATCTTCCCTTTGCCTTCAATTTTACAAAAAATCCATCCTGTGAGGAGTGAGAATTTTTAAAAATCGACAACTATTACCAGAAAGTTAAAACCCTAGATCCAAATAAGCTACAAACCTATTGCTGAAATACGTTGATGAAGCTCTAATCCCTCTCCATTCTCAGTCCCGACTATCTGTTTTCACCATCTTCTTCAGCTATCAGCCGCTCGCTGACTAACCAGCTGAAATACATCTTACAATCGCCTACACTTTTTGCCTCCGTCTGTTAGCCTACGATCAAGCTCCGCAGGTAGACTCATACGGCGTCACTACCCTCTAGGACACTCGAAATCTCGTCCGCCGCTGTTGCACGATTCTTCGTTGGTATCGTGTCTTTATTTGCTTTTGAAAATCCTTTCATCAGTTACTTGACTATATTCTGCATTCTTGAAGAGAAGTGCTTTTGGTAGCTTTTATGTGATAAAAAATAATGAACTTTAATATTATAAGGAGTATATGATATATAATTATTATTGTTTCTTTTCTATTTGTTTTATCTTTTATTTTTGATGGATTAAAGAAATCTTGGCTGGATTCAGTTTTATTTAGTTTTCTTATTAATATTAATTCTATTTTTAATTTATATGATATATAGAAAGTCTAACATGATATAAAACCAATTTGTATATTATATCTTATTTGAATCGTAATATTTACTATAAGCATAAAAATTTACTACAAAGCATTCAATAATTTGGGATGAAGCACCCATGACTTAGAAGCATGCATTTGAAGCTTTAGATTGAACTTTTAAAGATATATTCAAGTGTCATAATCCTAGAAACTCAAATTTGCCATTTGTAGGGAAAGTAATTGTTTTTGGAGGAGATTTTAGACAAATTCTGCATGTTATCCCAAGTGGTAGTAGACAAGACATTGTCAATGCTTCCTTAAGTTCATCATATTTATGGCAATAATGCAAAGTCTATCAACTAACCAAAAATATGAGGCTAACCGTCGGAAGTGATACATCTGCTATTCAACAAACAATGGATTTTGCAAAATGGCTTTTGGATATAGGAGAAGGGAAACTTGGTGGTTCTAATGATGGCGAAGCGATTATTGATATTCCAGATGATCTTCTAATTAATGATCCTTATGATCCTATAGGTTCATTAATCGAGTTTGTATATCCTTCAATTCTTGAAGCTTCTAACATTCCAGGATATTTTCAAGAAAGAGCAATACTTGGTCCAAAGAATGAAGTTGTCGGAAAAATAAATGATCGTTTGTTAGCATTATTTCCAGGAGATGAAGTAGAATATCTAAGTTCGGATAAACTATGTGAATCTGAGTTTGTCCATGATCACTTTGATGCCAATTTATACTCACATGATGTTTTAAATAGTCTTAAAGTCTCAGGTCTGCCTAATCATAAATTACTTTTGAAAATCGGGGTTCCAGTTATGTTATTGAGGAACATTGATAAAAAAATGGTTTATGTAATGACACTAGACTACAAGTGATATCTTTGGGCAAACGTGTTATTGAGGTAGTTATCATAACTGGAAGTAATATTGGAAATCGGACCTTTATTCCAAGAATGACCTTAACAACATCTGAAAAAAAAAAATCTCATTTAAATTTCAAAGAAGACAATTTTCATTAGTTGTTTGCTTTGCAATGAGAATTAACAAGAGCCAAGGACAATTCTTATCTAAGGTTGGTTTGTTTTTTAAAGATCCGACTTGTACACATGGTCAATTATATGTTGCCCTATCTAGAGTTCAAAGTAGAGAATGATTTAAATTGTTAATTTTAAATAAAGATGGTAGACTTATAAATAAAACTTCTAATGTTGTTTATAAAGAAGTTTTTAGAAATTTATAAGTTGTATGTAATATATTATTCCTCATAACATGTTTTCTTCTTATTATTAATAAGACTTTGTTAAATTTTCTTTTATAATTTCTTATTTTTTATAATATACGTTTATTTTAACAACTTAATTTTTTTGATTTATTTACCAATTTTAATTTACTTCACATATTGGGGTTGTTTTATTTTTACAATAAATTTAATATATCATTATATTCTATCTTAACATTTTTTTTTCACAAATAAAAACTATATAATATATATTGAAAATAAATTTCACATACTTATTTGAATCAACAATTTTAATTTTACATAACTAAATAAAATAACTATTCATTAATAATTTAATTATATTATTTGATTAATAATTACGATATTTTAGTATGAAAATGTAATTAATTTCGCACCTGTGGTTCCCACAGGAAAATGGTAACAAGAAAATGAGCTTTTTAGGTGTTGTAGGTTGTTCGAAAATTAGCTACTATTTGGGGTGATTTAGCTCTCAGAAAATTAGCAAAATAAAGGGTTTTTGGGTCTCTTTTGGTCACTAAAAAGCAGAGGTATACTTGGTTGTTGGGTTCTCAAAAATTCACTGCAAAATAGGTGGTTTTTAGATCACATTTGGTCACTTGAAAACAATTTTGTATAGGGCTGATGTGTTCTTGAATTTTTGACAGCAAACATGAGGTTTTTGATAGCAAAATAGGTGGTTTTTAGGCTGCTATAAACTACTAGAAAAACAACTCTTTATTGAGCTGTTTTGGGTCTTAAAAATTCAACAAGAACATATGAATAAGAGGAGTTTTGGGGATATTATGATGACTTCAAACATAGCTGCAACAGCCAACAGGAGACATGTTCATGGGTATTTTTAGGATAAAAACATGTTGAAAATTGGTGCTAAGTGGTTGTGATTGGAGGCTAAAAAAGAGGAGGCAACAACTCCATTTCTGCCTTCGATTTTGATGGGTTTCGAAGAGAAGGGAGGGGTTGTAAGAAAGTTGATTTCATATATGATATTCAGAGTATTCCCAGAATATGTTTGCTGTCAATTTGAAGAAAGGAAGGCGGGAGGAAGGTGGCATTAAGTTTATAGGAAGGAAAGAAATAGAGAGTTATGAGAGAAGGAGAGAAGGAGGGAAACAAAATGGAGAAAGAATCGATCAAGCATTCAAGTTACAGTTTTCTCAATTTGGGTATTTCATCGAGCACCTTACGTGCACAAAGACTGTAACAGAAGAGAACGCTACCTTTATAGGCACAGATGGCGTAATAAATTTTGGATCAGGAACCACAGGTTTAGCGCCCAAAATACCCTTATCTTAGATCGTATCATTCACAGAGGGAAGAAGCGATGTCTTAGAATTACTAACCTTGAGTTTCGAAGAATTAAATCCCTATACCATATCTGAAGTAGCTTGAATCAGAAGAACATGCAAAACTCATCGGAGAACCTGAAACCACCAATGGACTCATTGCAGGGATGAACCCGCATCGTTTTGTTGCTTATGATGGCGTTGCTGTTCAGTCGATTTCTCCTCTTAAAACCTACAGCAGGGGCGGACGCAAGATTTCATAGTAGGGGTTGCACAGAAAGTTAAGGGTTGCACGATAGTAGAAAAAATAAAAAATTTAAAAAATTTCGAAATTTTTCCCACTACAGGCGGAAAAGTTAGGGGTTGCCAGTGCCACCCCGGAACCCCCCTAAATCCGCCCCTACCTACAGATGATGTCGATCTTAAGAATCGGGACCATGGTGATGTCGATCTTGTTCACTTTTGGTGGTTTTAAAAAACCGATGGAGAAAACCTAGGTAGGTGGGTAGCTGAAATCAATGGTTACAATAATTATAGGATATTATTTGTGGAAACTAATTATCAAATTACCTATTTACCATTATTTATTTATTTAATTATTTTTTTTATTTTAAATTTTGATTGAGTCACATTTATGCATATAATAACACAATAGATACATTAAACATCTATATATATATATATATATATATATATATATATATATATATATATATATATATATATATATATATATATATATATATATATATATATATATATATATATATATAGGGTTAAGTTCAAATGAGAACACTATTTAATGTGAGAACGTGAGGACACTACTTTATGTTACTATTCTACTAATAATTTTGTATATACAACGATATGACAGTATTCATCAACAAATATACGAACAATCATACATTAATATTCACATTAAAATTTTGTATGTATAACTTTATGATATTATTCATCACCAAATATAAGAACAATCACATATTTAACATTTACATTAGAATTTACTAAATTACTACACATATATAAAAATTTATAGTAGACTAGCAATATTAAATTGAATATATTCATATTATAATTATTACAATACTATACATATTAAATTAATAGTAGAATAGTAACATAAAGTAGTGTCGTTATATTTTCGGATTAAATTGTGTTCTCATTTGAAATTAACCCCCTCTCTCTCTGATTGGATAATATAAATACAAGAGGAAAATTGAGTTAGATATAGTAGCAAATTCTCGTAAAATTCAATATATCACGTCTAATTAACAATGATTGACAAATTAACAATCTTGTATTTTCTCTCACATACCTTCATTGCAGAGAAATAATCCACCCAAAAATTAAAATTAAAAAGTCTAAAAAAACCGCCAAATTATTGATTTCTCATCAATCAGGAAACAGAAATAAAACATTCTCACTTAACAAAATTCATCCGCTATCTCCACTTCATTTCCATTTGCTGTTTCTCTGTAATTTTCTTCAAGTTTTCTGCAATATTGCCACCAAATCTATCTTCGTCTTCAAGTTTTCTTCAACTGGGTATTGCCTTTAATCTTTTTAATTTCACTTTCCAGTCATCTCTTTCTTTCTTTTTCTACTGATTTGGTTCAGTGGGTTGCTGTTAAAAAGATTCACACACATTTGGAATCGTCAAGCTTCCTTTCGCAGTGCTTGATTTTGTTTTAAGGGAGGATTCTTTCTTTCAAGATTCTTCTGGGGTTAAAAGTGATTTCTCGGGAATTTCTGTTTTGATACGAGTTAGAGAGGATATAGAGAGACAGAGAGAGAAAATGAAACGATTGGTTTCATTTCAACTTATATGTGTTTGTTTGGGACTGTTTCTTGCTACTAGTGATGCTGTTCTACCAACAGAAGGTACGTAACTTTCATACTTTCATTTGATTTGTAGTTTCTCATAGATCTTGAATGGTTTTAGAAGGTATTTGTAATCTTTATCGGATATATTATGAGCAATGTGGGTTGCATTTCAAAAAATAGTTAGCCGAAGATCACGATTCTGTAGGGTTTATCCCAAGAACCCCTAATTTATGAATTTTATTTTTATTTTTATTTGCAGTTCATGCTCTGACAGTGTTCAAAGAAGCTATATTTGATGACCCGTTATTGGTTTTGTCAAACTGGAATGGCTTAGATTCAGATCCTTGTAATTGGGTTGGTGTTTACTGTTCTGATGATCATGTTAGAAAAGTGTAAGTGATTTTATCTCTTCGATTCCTATTTGGAAATGATATATGTAATGATGCTAATTCAATGGTTTTTCAATTTGATTGTGCAGAAACATTTCTGGGTTTTCCATAAAGGGATTCATAGCCGAAGAGCTGTTTCAGCTCTCATTCTTGCACGAACTGTATGTTTATCTTACCTTCAAGAACTTAACAAAAGATCAAGATTTTCATCAAGAAATGGTCATACTTGCAGGATATTACATGGCAACAATCTCATCGGTTCCATACCCAAAGAAATTGGAACGCTGAAGCACTTGAAAGTCTTAGATTTGGGGATGAACCAGCTATCTGGACCGATCCCAAATCAAATCGGCGATCTTCTTAGCGTTATCAAAATGTGAGTCTATTCGACTGGAATTTCATCATATCAAGAAATAAAATCCATCGATTTTTCTTACCTGTGAAGCTAATTTTCATTTGTTAGAAACTTACAATCCAACGCACTGACTGGAAAAATGCCTTTGGAGCTTGGTAATCTTAAGTACCTTCAAGAGCTTCGATTGGACAGAAATAAACTGGAAGGAACTGTTCCTGGTGCTAGTTCTACAGATTTTGCTTCAACCATGAGAGGAATGTAAGTTTAAAACGCTCCAATTGATTTTTATTGCATCCACATTGTCCAGAAATGTCGTTGCTAAATATGAATCGACTGTTTCAGGTATGCTTCAAATACAAACGCCCTAGGATTCTGTCGAGCAACTCCTTTAAAAATTGCGGATTTCTCATACAACTACCTTGTTGGAAGCGTTCCTAAATGCTTGGAATATCTTCCAAAGTACCTTTCTTTCTTCTTCATCGTCATCTTTTCTGTGTTTTTCTTTTTAATCTCATTTTCTTTCGTTCTTCCATAACAGGGCCAGCTTTCAGGGGAACTGCATAAAGTATAAAGGCATCACAACACGGGCTCCTGAACAATGCGGTTTTACTTCAACAGCTAGCCCCCGTAAGCCAGAAGGCATGAAACATGGTCCTGAAGTTGACCACAAACACAAACACAAACACAAACCTCATCCTTCAAAACTCACGTGGCTTTTGGCTCTTGAAGTAGTGACTGGAGTGATAGCGGGGTTGATCTTCCTTGTAGCCCTTCTCATGGCTCTTCACAGGTGTAAAGAGAAACCATTGAGCATCATTCCATGGAAGAAACCTGGAACTGACAAAGACTGTATGACAATCATTGTTGGTAAGAAACCAAAACTTCGTTTTTCTATCATGTTCGTATAAAGAAAAAATAAAATGAACCTTTTCTTTTCTGGATATACAGATACTGATATGCTAAAGGATGTTAGGAGATATAGTCGACACGAACTTGAATTTGCTTGTGAAGATTTTAGCAACATTATTGGGTCCTCATCGGATAGTATAGTTTACAAAGGAACCATGAAAGGTGGACCTGAAATCGCAGTTATATCCCTTTCTAATCAGGAAGAAAACTGGACCAGCTACCTTGAGCTTTATTTTCAGAAAGAGGTAAAACTGGGAAATCTTATGTTTTTCAATATATGTTTTCAAGATTCGATCTTTTGCTCAAGTTTTATCGATATCAATCAGGTGGCAGATTTGGCAAGGCTAAATCACCAACACATCGGGAAACTGCTGGGGTATTGTATTGAAGGTAACCCGTTTACGAGAATGTTAGTCTTTGAATACGCGTCAAACGGAACATTGTCTGAACACCTCCACTGTAAGTCTCTGATTCGTTTTAGGGTTTAGGGTTTATGGTAGAGAAATATTGTTGAACGCTTTTGTTTTTTCTGTAGACGAACACGGGTGTCAACTAAGTTGGACACGAAGAATGACGATTGTTATAGGAATCGCGAAAGGTCTAAAGTATCTTCACACGGAAATTGATCCTCCATTTACTATATCGGAGTTGAACTCTAGCGCAGTATATCTCACTGATGATTTTTCACCAAAGGTAACACTTCAAACCTTTTTTTTTTTTGGCAATCTGTCCCATTGGGGATTTTGTAGTTACATCTTCGTTTTGTTGATGCTTGTAGCTAGTAGATTTTGAGAGTTGGAAAACGATTCTTACAAGATCAGAGAACAACTCTCGTCCTATCAGCAGTGAAGGGGCTATGTGTGTTCAACCGTGTTCATTAGAAGCACGCCATTTGGATATCCAGGGTAACATCTTTGCATTCGGTGTTCTTCTGTTGGAAATCATTAGCGGACGCCCTCCAATCTCAAAAGACAAGGGGTTTCTAGTAGACTGGGTATGAAATCATCATATACCAAAATGATCAGTAGTTTCTGAGTTTTTTTGTTTCTTGATTCAGTGAATGGATCAGTGATGTTTTTGACATTGGTATCAGGCCAAAGATTATCTTGAAGATCCAGAGAAGATGGCATCAGTTGTGGATCCTGCATTGAAGCATCTTAGAGAGGAAGATCTTGAAGCGATACGTGAGGTGGTGACTATTTGCATTCATGTAAGGCCTAGAGATAAAGTAACAATGCAAGAAGTGTGTGCGATGTTGGAAAGGAAACTTGACATATCGGGTTCATCAGAGCTCATGGCATCATCGTTAGCCTGGGCTGAGCTTGCACTTTCGTCTTGACCCGACTCCTATAAAACCTAACATACTGTAAATCCTAGTACTATCATCATATATACCAACCATCTTATTAGCATTGGATTAAAGCTTCTTGATTTCTTCATCTTTTGATGAGGAGTTGTAAATTTTGGCTTCATAAATAAGCACAAGGTGAATTTCATAATGGCGAAATATTTTTTTGTAACCAATTTAGGGTTTTTGATTTGGAAGAACATGCAACTTTTAGCAAAATATAATTTGGTTTCATATGTATCATGTTCTCAAGATGAGATAGATACAATTTTTATGATATATGTTTTCTTAAGATGATAACAAAGAAAAAAAATTCGGTGTGTATCGGATTTGAACTGCCGTAATCGAAATAAAATAAATGGTGGAACTGAAAATTGAAAAGGATCTAACCAAACATATTTTGGTTAGGTTTATTTTTTTTTTCTTGAATGAAGGTTAGGTTTATTAGAACCGGTTTAATTGCAAATTGAATCGTAAACCAAATTTATACTTGGTTATTTGATTTATAAAGACTAAAATGTACAAATGGTCCTTATGGTTTGCTCAAAATTGTTACTTTGGCTCAAAAAAGTTTGGACTAACACTACAGGTCTAAAGTTTTCATTTTGTTGCTAGTTTGGTCCAATTTGCTTTGAACTTTTTCATAATAACCATTTTGCCCTTAGTTATTTATTTATTTAAATATTTTTCTATTTAAAAGAAGAATAAAAAAAATTGTATTTTCTATTTTACTTTTATATTTTTTTTATAAAGGAATAAAAATAAATAAATAAAATATACAATCTCTCTCTCTCTCTCTCTCCTAAAATCTACAACCCCATCTTCTTTCATTCTCATATAAACGCCTATGCATCTTCTTCCATTTTTGTCATCTGCAAAAAATTGAGTTGAAGCTTACATCAGAATACCCAGTTCAATGGCTTACACCCAAAATCAATTGTCTTCACGACTTTTTTACACCAATCAACACATGTGATCGATTCAGATTGAAAAAAAAATGAGAAATTGGCCCAAATCCTTTAGCATAAATATCTTTACACATACCTGGATGATTGATCGAGTGAGTAACGATTTTACTGTAATTATGTATCTCAAAACAGGGAGGAAAGTTGAAATCATAATCAACGAAGAAGGTATGGGGATTTTTAATAAGGGAATGGTGTTTTGGGTCTTTTTTATGGGGATTTTCAATGGGTTCAAGAACCCTAGTTTCTTCTTCTTCCTTTATATGTTATATCAAAGATCACAGATTTGCAAATGGTTTAATTTTGAGAGAGTGTGTATGTTCATATGTTTGATTTTCTACAGGAAGAAGGAAGAAGATGGGTATGTTTGTATGTTCGTATGGGATGAAAGAGAGGGGTAGGTGGGTGGTGAGGAGGGATTTCATATTCAGGGAGAATTGGTGGATTTCAAGGTCCGTTGATGATGATCGTTGCGGAGGTTCAACAACCGTTGGTCGTGGGGAAGAAACAACCACGGAAAAATTACATGCGGCTGGGGATGAGATAGAGAACACAGGAGAGGCTAAATAGGGAGGAAATAGACCGGAGGTGATAATCGGTGGTGGTTATGGTATTGCCGGAAAAAATGGAGGCGTAGGGGTTCATTTCTAGAAATCTTATTTGGGTTGCTGATAGGAAGGGATGTCGGTGGATCTATAGGTTTTGATCGGGTAGGGGCAGGAAATCACTTACCTTGGTCGATGGCATCCGATGGTGGTGGTGGTGGAAGGTGGTGCTGGCAGCTTCCGGTTGTAATTTAGATGGGGTTCAAAGTTTTTGGAGGTCAGGGAGGAAGACAAATGTGTCTTTATTGTTTACGAGAGAGAGAGAGAGAGAGAGAGAGAGAGAGAGAGAGAGAGAGAGAGAGAGAGAGAGAGAGATTATGTATTTTATTTATTTATTTTTATTTCTTTATAAAAAATTATAAAAGTAAAATAGAAAATACAATTTTTTTTAGTTTTCTTTTAAACGGAAATATATTTAAATAAACAAATAACTAAGGGCAAAATGGTCATTATGAAAAAGTTCAAAGCAAATTGGACTAAACTAGCAACAAAATGAAAACTTTGGACCTGTGGTGCTAGTTCAAACTTTTTTGGAACAAAGTGATAATTTTGAGCAAACAACAGGGATCATTTGTGCAGTTTAGTCATTTATAAACTATAATCCAATATATCAAATGCCCTAGTTTATTTCACTCAATAACAATAAGTCAACTAATTATAGTTCACAAATAGAATTAAGCATCTAATCTACTGTTCATAAAGTAAGCTAATAATGTAAATACAAGCCTAAAACATCATAAAATTAGAACAAAAAAAAAAAAAAAATTAGGTTATAAAATGACCTATTTGGAGAAGAGTGAAGACAAACGAGAAGATATCACTTGTTGAATTGTTCTTTGTTGAAATGAATTAAATATTAAAATGTTGTGTGGTTGGAGCGCACGAAAATAACCAAAGGGAATATCACTTGATGACAGTAATGGAAGAGGAGACGGGAGAGAAGAAGACGAGATATTTAAATTATTTGCCCTTTTAAAAAAAAAAACTATTGTTTTTTATTTTGTTTTTTCTATTTATTTATTTATTTTTTGGAATAATCAATCAAACAAATAAGATGTTTGACGTAGGTTAGATAACTGATTTTTTTTAATTATCTATTTTAGTCTAACAATTGGCCATAAGACTAAAGAAAACGGAGCATTACATCTAATGATGGCATATTATTTTCAAAGCCACAAAATGTTGTCATATCAATTTTGCCAAGACCATCCATAACAGCTGTTGCAAAACTAATTTGTAATGACACATCACAAAAAACATATACGTACTTTATCTTTCACAGTTTGCAAGACTTGTAAAAATTAATTGTATCAATATTTTAATAAAAACTTTATTTTCCATTAATTTCTCTTTCCAAAAATTGATTTCTTTTTCCAATTAATTTCTCTTTCTAAAAGATGATGAGTTGACATTCATTTGCAATATCATATCCCTTGCACCCATGGGGATATTCTAATATGAATCACATATCATTTTCAGGAGAAAAGTCAACATCATAAAAAAAATTAATAAAAAAGAAAAAAAAGGAAAAGAAATAAACACACTCACATACACATTCTCTCTCTCATCAACACTAAAATGCCATTTAAATTTACCATTATATCATGTCATCTTTGAAGGACGGTGTTTGTGTGGAATGTCAAACAAATGCAGGGTTGTTGTGATTCACTCCCTCAAACCTAAGATGAATCTATTGTGGCATTAAGAGTGCGCAACCTCGTATACTTGTGAGAGCAACAAGCATAATAAACAATAACAATATAATTCTTTTAGTTTATTTCATTTCATGTACAAAGTTTTCAGTCATGGAGTACCTCCCCCATTCGTCTCTATTTAAATCCGTGCTTGGTTGAACAATATATAAATAAGAAGAGTGACATGAGCCTCATGAGTCTTCCTATAAGACTCATCTCACTCATATCCACTAATATCAACAAAAGAACAATATACATGATTAAACAATCAAAGATGATTAAACAAAAGAACAATACATGATTAATGAGTTGAGTTTCTTCTCGATGCATACACTAACCATCATATACATGATTAAACAATCAAAGATGTATGTAATCTAATTAAAGAAAATACCAAAACTATCACTAAAAAAACTTTATGGGTCTTCTAGAGTACATGCCGCCTCTATTTCTCCAACTTTCATGTAAATATAATATCTTTTTATATTCTATATGTAAATACAATATCATATTTTCACTTGGCTCTATTAATTATTCAGTTATAACTATTGGACTTTTTATAGAAGTGGAAAAGTAAACATCACAAAAACTATATGAAACCCAATAAGATTATGTAATAAAGAATATACTAAGTTAGAGATCGGTCCCTATGTTGAACTGGTTTTGTTTAGGTTTCATTAATTTATAAGCCCAAATTTAAAGTATCAAATTCCTTTTCAAAATCACTTTAAAAAATAAAATCTTTGTTTCTTAAACTCGTTAGCCCACGAAACCACTTCATTAACAACTAAATATGTCACACTTCCAAACTAATCACCATTTCCAAATTTTGCAAACTTGGCAATAATTTTCTAAAAACATCGATCCAACTAAGTTGGTCGGTCTATAATCGCATAAATATAATAGATGGTTAACCTTGAAAATTAAAGAGATAAATGAAGCATTCATCATCTTTTATTGATGATCAAGTACGCTTCAAAATAACTTATTGCATTAAATAGATCCAAGATTTTTGTTCTGAGTCCAAAATTATATTTTCCGATCTCAATCAATTATTCACGCCTGCACTTCGCTCAAGACGATCCTTATCATCAATAAACTAGACTTAACTTTAAGATCAAAGTTATTAATTTTCTGGAGCTTGGACATCAAAATCTTGTTAAATCTTACACTTCGAGTCTCCAATTTTTAATCGGGGCTTTAAGAGTTTTGAGAATGGAGGAAACCACCAATGGCCAAAGGACCATTCAACCTTGGCAACTTCAGCCAACTTCAGGTCAAGAAGCTACAAATTGTAGAATCGAAAGGGATGGTTCCAAAGTCTTGACCACGAGTATAAAGAAGCTAGGGACAATTATTGAAGTGGAGTGCAGGTAAGTATCACCAATCAATGTTAGTCTATATATTATTAGCCCGTTTGTTTATCGACCATTTTGTCTTTAACCCATTAGGGTTTATGTCTAGCTAATATTTATATTGTTTTATTCTTTGTAGTGTTTGTTTTTCTATAAGAACTCTTATAATTTCTATTTATCAAAATCATATGACAATGTTATCAATCATGACACTGCATTCACACAAAATTCAAGGAAAGTGGGCAAAACAATAATGGGATCCAATCCTACTAAAATTTTTACCTTCCATTTTATAGTTTTCGAAATAAATTTAGGTAAAAAAATTAAGATTTTTAAGCAATACTTTTCATCTGGGAAATGGCTATATGGGCATGATGTAAAAATAATTTTCGAATATAAACTGTAATTTTGAAGGATAAAATTCCAAAATTTTCTAAGGATTTTTTGTGTGTGTATTTTTGCATATCAAAACTCAAAAATATAATATGGAACTATTTTTTTGCTTTGTAAACGGTCTTCTTCGAAGGTTTATAAATTTTTTTAAAACCAATAATACAAAAAAACAAAAAACGTTTTTC